TAGCGAAGAGCCGGGAAATGCCCAGGCAGGCAGCACGGGGGGAGCTGTCTGGGAGCAGACAGGGAACTGAGGGCGCGTATTTCGAAGGCGACGTTCCCTGAAGACAGAGCGTCCCACTTGGGGCGAGCTAGAGGGAGGCTGTCCGAGGAGTCAGGTTCAGGCTCTAGAAAGCGCCTCTGACGTGGTTTGACACGTAACGAGGCCGAAGAGCCGGGAAATGCCCAGGCAGGCAGCACGGGGGGAGCTGTCTGGGAGCAGACAGGGAACTGAGGGCGCGTATTTCGAAGGCGACGTTCCCTGAAGACAGAGCGTCCCACTTGGGGCGAGCTAGAGGGAGGCTGTCCGAGGAGTCAGGTTCAGGCTCTAGAAAGCGCCTCTGACGTGGTTTGACACGTAACGAGGCCTCTCCAATAGCCTAACTCACTAGCCCAGGGGCAGGAACCTCTTTTGGGTCGGGGGCCACTGACCTGTAGGAAAAAACCCCAAAACCAAAACCCGCTCACTGACAGGCCCCCTCCTCAAATTCCCCTCGCACACCAGAGCCGGGGGGGCGAACTAGCAGACTTTGTGTGTTCCAGCTCGGCACAGGGGTGGTGGGTAGGGCTGCTTGGGGGGTGCCCTGAGCTTGGGGGCCAGATTCAGGCAAGTTGGGGGCTACATCTGGTCCCTTGGCCTTAGGTTCCCCCCACACACCTTGAGTCTCTTCATCGACCCCCCCTCCCCGCTACAGCTCAGCCCGGGTGTGAGCGGGCAGGCGGGCGCACATGGAGGCGTGGACACACCCACGTGCATATCTGGCTGTGGCCACACGGGCATGTCGGTGCACGCACATGCTGTGCATGCGCCCATGCCAAGGGTAGCTGGGCCCCTGCCAGCGTGCTGCCCCGCACGCAGCGTTGGCAAGCCGTGCCCCCTTCCCTCCCCAGCACTCACGGGTCCAGCCGCGGGCGGTGGTGCCTGCTGCCCGGTAGGGCCCAGCGACGGAGACGACCTCCAGCGTGTGCAGGGACCCGGCCGTCAGCGCGGTGAAGGTGAAACCGTGGGCATCCTGCCTTGCCACGGCCCTGGCTGCCACAGCGCCCGATCCCGCCTGGGACAGGCTCAGCGCGTAGCCCTCCCGGCCCCCGGCGGCTGCTTCCCAGGCCGCGCTCAGCCTGTCGGGGTGCCCCCGGTTTGACAGACGTACGGCCAGAGGGGCCAGAGGGCCTGGGGACGACATGGACGCTGCAGGGTGCGGAGCCGCCGGCTGTGGGCCCCAGCCCAGCCTCACAGCTCCATGGGAGAGCCGGGCACGAGGTGGGGGTGGGGAGAAGATGCCTGTGCCCTCGGCTCTGTCAAGGACCCGCCTCGCTGCCAGCGGGGGCTCCCCCACTGCCCCCGTCTCCCCCAGCCCTGAGACCTGGCCAGTGCCCAGCAGAGACAGCGTGAGCTGGAGGGAGCGGGATGTGAGTGAAGGGGGCGGGGAGGATCCAGCTGGCTGGGATCAGCCGTGTCCCTGCTCTGGGGTGGGGTGATCTGCCAGGCCCTGAAGGGCCCCCCCACTGCAGTCCGGATCCAAGGCGTCGGGAGCCCTGGGGGAGCAGGGCAGGGAGGGCGGGTTGTCTCGCAGCCCCCAGCCTCTCTCGGCGCCCCTCTGGGATGTTGGGACTGCAGGCCTGGGAGAGCACCCCCGGCCCGGCCCTGCCCGCAGCCAGGGAGAAGCCTTAGGCAAAGGCTGGCAATGCAGGAACGGCTCCCAGCGGCCCACCCCTCCCAGTTTCAGGCAGGACTGGGTGGCATCCCCCTGCCCCGGGCACCGTGCAGGACATGAGTGGGGGCAGCTGGTGCCCCCATGCCAGCTGGTGACGGGAGAGCCCGGGGGCCTGGCGGCAGGGTGGGCAGGGCACTGGCGTGTCCAGTGGGTGAGGTTGGGGGTGCTGGCGTGGTACGGCCCGGCGGTGGTGCTCACGCCCACGCGGTAGCGGGTGCCCGGGGCCAGGCTCCGGAAGGTGTGGTTCCTAGCGCCCCAGGGGAGCCAGACGTGGCGGAGGTGTGCGCCGGAGGAGGCGCTGTACAGATCCACGGCGTGGCCCTCTCCTCCCCCCTCCGCTGCTGCCCACGAGGCCTGCAGGGCGGAGGCAGAGGGGCTGGCCAAGGTGAGGTTGGCAGGCGCCAGGGGGTCTGGAAGAGAAGGGGAGACACATTCGACCTCTGCTGGGAGAAGCAACCACACGGCCCCAGCAGGCAGCCTCCTCTGACCCAGAGCAGTGGGGGCTCTGCCCAGCCCTGGTCCCTGGCAACGCAGACACCAGGGACCACGCTGGCCATTGCTAGGAGCATAGACTCATAGACTTTAAGGTCAGAAGGGACCATTATGATCATCTAGTCTGACCCCCTGCACAGTGCAGAATCTCACCCACCCCAAGATGCAGAGAATCCTCCAGCTGTGATCTGTGCCCCATGCTACGGAGGAAGGCGAAAAACCTCCAGGGCCTCTGCCAATCTACCCTGGAGGGAAATTCCTTCCCGGCCCCAAATATGGCGATCAGCT